GGCCATGTCGATAACAGAATTTTTTAATCTAGCTAATAAATTGGTACCAACGGAATTCGATGCTTCTTTTGACAAACTCAAATCCTTCTGAGATGCGCTGATCCGTCACAAAAGCAATTCAAATAATCATACTCAGGACGTATGCATATATCAAAACACATTTAATCGGACGTCCAAGGGACTTAATCACAAGTGAATCAAGTATTGACAACACAATAGATACTTAATAAAATAAAAAGTTCGACACTTTTCACTTCAAAATTACAGAATCTAAAGCAAAATTCAAATATTGTGTTACGTACGTTACTGAGATGGCCGCCAGTTTAAAACAAGCGTACATCAACGAAGGACATTACCTAACTTACACAACAAAACTTTTGTTTTACTTTTATTCTTTTGTCAATTAACATTGTTGAGATCTACTAATCCTATGTATCCGATCGCTTGCTTTTTATCATTTTTTTTATTATTACCCGTAAAGCAAAAATGGTCTCACACGCTCCCCTCTTTCTTTTACACCCGAATTGGTCTTCCCCTAATAAATCTTCCGTCCTTTTTTCCTACCATCTCAATAAATATTTTTGACACAAAGGATGTTAGCTAATTCTTTTAATGTACTAAGTGGATTAAGTGAACAGTCTCTAACCTCTTGTCTTGAATGTTTTAAAATTTCGCTTCGGTACAGTATTTTTTTTTATGCCAACTTAAACTATTGTATTTCCGTCTTTTATCTTATAATCCTAGGGTTTTCTAATCTGATTTTGCTTATATACTCTCGCTGAGAAATCAAGACATGTTTTAGTTCAAATCCATTGCGTTTAAATGTACATCATTAACATTAGTTTCTTCAATTCCCTTTCGTATTTCTGTCAAGCCTATCACATGTATCGTTACATCTTAATCTTTCCAAGTTAAGACTTCCAACATTTCCTGTTCATAATTTTAATACGCCTGCTCCTGACTAACTCAAGCTAGGTTATGTTTATCTGAAAACACCCCTATCGTTTTTATTTCCTCGCCCACAAGAACCTTTTATTGCTCTTTCTTAACCTTCACCTACTATTGAAGTCTATAATTATTAGGTTTTTAGACCTCTCACTAAACATTACCCGCCTTCGATATTTTCAGAGACCGCTTCTACGTCTTCGTCATTGTAAGATGGCGTGGACATACACACCGTTTTTCATACTTGTATAAAATACTAGAAAAAAGTATTTACATGCAAATATAATTATTTTTTTTTAAATATGTTTTTAAATACAAATACAAGTATTTTAAATACTACATTTATTGTAAAATTTTATTAGGTATAATGAACTGACGGTAAAAAATAAAACTAAAGAAAAATGTTATTTTTTAAGCAAGCATATACTTGGTTAAAATACAAAAGAATAGTATCTAAATACAAATACAAATACTGCAGTTGTATTTAAATAATAACAAATTTATTTGAAATTGCTGGGTTGAAGGTATTATGATTAAAGAAGATTTTTTTTTACTATTTTTTCGTCAATTTTGATAGTGTATTTTAAAATTGGTTCAGTATGTCAAATAAAATACCTTCTTTGAAATAGTTTAATACAATTACCAAAAACTTTTTGTCATCAATTACCAAATACTTTTTGTCATTGGTATAGTATTTGAAATACCACCAGTAGTATTTAAATAAGTTTTCTATATACCTTTATTTGAAATACTTGACAAGTATGCCGTTTTTCTGGTTTCAAATTTAACATTATTATAACTATTTTATTATTTTTCTGTAAATAATTTTTTACCTGTGTCCTGTATTCCTATGCATTACAATTATTGGACTTGAATTACTTTCCACTGATACTGTAGGTATTATTCTAAAGTATCCACTCCAAAAGTGTCTCCAATATCTAATTATGCCGCTTTTAGTATTTTAAGCTTGATGCACATCCAAGCTTCCGCATTATTTGGTTGTGAGTGCATGTGCGCTCCTTAATGTCATGTTTTGCTCTATAAATGGACAAAACTTATAAATTTACTGAAGATTTCATATCAGTTTTTGCAGCATATAACACATTTAGCTTCCGTTGTATGTTAAAATTTGTACAGATATTTAATAAGTAGCCCTAATTAATAATTTCATTAGCATGGTTTCCAGGTTAGTCAAAATAGGCACATATTTAATATACCATTAACTGTCTTCAAAAATTTACTCATAAACGAAAGTTTCATCATTAATGTAAAGTAACATTAGTGTGAAGCGACATGTCAAAGGTTTCTAAAGAAGCGCCGTACTGAAAAAAATAAGAATTATTAGAAATCTGGATTTTGACTTTTCAGTATTTTTATTTATTATTTTAAAGTATTTAAAGCTAACCATCCAGGAGGATGGTAGGGTAATATCTAGCTTTTTAAAACGACATCCACAGTAGGAATTACAGCAGCCGACATTAGAAAATGGGCTTCCAGTGTAGAAGCCTATTTACAGAATGAAGTACTTGTCCTTGAAGATTTTCGCAAAATATACAATGGTGACGAAACCTGCTTTTGACTTTGCCCAAACATTATAAGAGCTTTTGCCCCAAAGGGGCTGAAAACGTATACGAAATATAACACCATCCATTGATGTTCACATTTCCTGCTCAACGAGATGCTGCCCCGTCCTATGATTATCTCTGTCAACAAAAGATGAATCAGCATCCAACATTGAAGATAATAATTTAAACATTATGAGGATACGTAAAAGGAACTGTTTATAACACATTTCCTATGACAACATAAGCAGCACATTATAGAAGCTTTAAGAATCCTAGATCCAAAATCCACAAATGTTGATCAATGTTGCTGAAGAGAATACCTTCATGTTTAAAATCAGGCGGTCGTTATTTGGAACACTTGCTATAGGGTAGTATTATTTGTTGTATTTCCATCACTCTTCTCCTTTCCTCCTTTAAACTAGCCCAGCTGTTTCTTACATAATTCCGACCTGTTAAAATGTCATACTTGACTAAATTTATTAAAATCGCTTTATGTTCTGAATTAGCTATAAGAAGATATAACAGTATTCGATAGAGGATTAAATTCTACAACTGCTGTTAACATAAAATACAGGATGTTCTATTTAAACTATACAGGTTATTCTTATTTAAAGCTAGCGTTTAATCATATTTTTGGGACACCCTCTATACGTTGGTCACAATTTCACAATTGCGATACGAAAGTTAAGTAACTAGCAGGCTTCAATTTAAATTTGGTTTCAAAAGGAGGAATGCATGTTGAGAATTAAAAAATTAAAAATTAAATTAAAATTGTTACATTTTCACAAAATTCAAAATATCTAGGAACAAAGTCGTTATCTTTCGTGTCGAATAATGTATAATACGTAATATCATTCTAAAGCCCTTAACATTATAATAGAACTTCTCATATGTTCGCCAAAGTGTACCTACCATTCACTGTATCCTTTACCTTAGCTACTGTATCTAATTATAGTCTATATGTCTTGACTTTTAAATTTTCCGACTTCCCTGCTTGTTACCTATAACATTGTACTTCTTGCAGCAAGCCGCGAAAAGTCCTCGCGTAGAAATGCCTTTATTTTACTTCCGGTATGTTTTACACCAGTGCAATATACAATGAAATGGTTTCCTGTTACCTTCCACATCGCAGTGTCATATGCTGTGGTCTCTACATTAATTGGAGTGTTTAAATACAAATATTAAACACTTTTTAGTCATCAATATTTTAATAATATTTGATATAACAGGTCAATTGAAAAGTCCCCGGCCTAAAATAGTAAAACACATTTTTTTTGCAAAATTCGTTTTTTTTATTCAACATAATTCCCTTCAAGGGTGATACACTGATTATAGCGACCTTCCAACTTTTCGATACCATTTTTGTAGTACGATTTGTCCTTTGCTTCAAAATAGGCCTCAGTTTCGGCGATCACCTCTTCATTCGACGAAAATTTTTTCCCAACGAGCATTCTTTTGAGATCTGAGAACAGGAAGTAGTCGCTGGGGGCCAGATCTGGAGAATACGGTGGATGCGGAAGCAATTCGAAGCCCAATTCATGAATTTTTGCCATCGTTTTCACTGACTTGTGAGACGGTGCATTGTCTTGGTGAAGCAGGACTTTCTTTTTCTGCAAATGCGGTCGTTTCTCGGCGATTTCGTCCTTCAAACGGTCCAATAACGCTATGTAATAGTCGCTGTTGATGGTCCTTCCTTTTTCAAGGTAGTCAATGAAAATTATTCCACGCGCATCCCAAAATACAGACGCCATAACCTTGCCAGCCGACTGTTGCGTTTTTGCACGCTTTGGAGCGGGTTCATCGTGTGCAGTCCACTCCGATGACTGTCGATTGGACTTCGGAGTGAAATGATGGAGCCATGTTTCATCCATTGTCACATATCGACGCAAAAACTCGGGTTTATTACGCGTGATCATCTTCAAACACTGCTCTGAATCATCAACTCGTCGTTGTTTTTGGTCAAAAGTGAGCTCGCGCGGCACCCACTTTGCACAGAGCTTTCTCATACCCAAATATTCGTGAATGATGTGATGTATACGTTCCGTTGATATCTGTAGAGTGTCTGCTATTTCATTCAATTTCAATTTACGGTCATTCAAAATCATTTTGTGGATTTTTTTAATGTTTTCGTCCGTAACAGCCTCTTTTGGGCGTCCACTGCGTTCACCGTCTTCGGTGCTCATTTCACCACGTCTAAACTTAGCATACCAATCCTTGATGGTTGATTTTCCTGGGGCAGTGTCCGGAAATTCGTTATCAAGCCAAGTTTTTGCTTCAACTGTATTTTTTCCCTTCAAAAAGCAATATTTTATCAACACGCGAAATTCCTTTTTATCCATTTTTTTCACAATAACAAAAGTTGCTTCACTAAAAATGCTATAATTCACAAACTAATGATCCGACAGCCGTCAAATTTATAGACGCGTCTTTTGAAGGTTAGGACTAACTGAAAATCATATGGATTTAGTTCTGGTGCCGCCATCTCTGTGTCAGGCCGGGGACTTTTCAATTGACCCTAGTACTTCAAAAGTATTTATAAATGTATTCCAAATATTTTTTTTTATTTTTATATGTGAATCAATAAATTTTAGGACAAAAACTACACTTTAACGACCTATTCTAATAATTCTGCTTTCTAAATCTACAGCCAAACTTTAAGACAACCCTAGTCAAGGAGAAATTGGTGTAAATATACATAAGAAACTTATTTTTATTACTTTTCATTTTTTTACTTTTGGAGAAAACACAAAGTGGCGAAAGGTTCGTCAAGCTAATAATTATATGTTGTATTATTTATTTTACTGTTAAAACGTATTTAAATAAATTGCATTTCTAGGTATATCCCATAGGTACATAAAGATTTTTTGTAAGCAGGTATACCTATTAATTCTACCGACACAAGAGACATAGAGTTCCTCTCTATGATCAAGGAGGATAAACTCCATGTATACAAAAATTATGCGTGTCAACTCTGACACGTGAGTGGAGATTACTCCGGAAGAACGATTACCTTAAAATATATAATATAGGCAAAAGAAGTGAATCCATATATTTACTTATATTGATTTGATAAAATACATTACATAAATTATATAGCATAATAAATATTAAAATGCCAATCGCTTACTGATTTTAAAAAACTATCATTAAAATAATTAAATAGTTATTGAACTAATAATTAAGATTTCAATTCGCTCAAAAGTTGCAAATGATTCCGTTAAACATTACCTTAAAAGTATAACACTTTACAATGCTACAGACAATATTTATATTAATTACTAAATTACTTGAACAACTTTCCAGAAAGATAACCTCTTGGATGGACATATTTTTATTTTAATAGATATTGATTAATTTTCCTTACGTATATTAACCATTATTGTAAAATTGGGATCATTTGTGGCATCTAGTAATTATTAATAAATCTTCTTATCAATGGAGTGAAAGGTCGCAGAATACACTGACAGAAGATAAAGCGAGGAGTTATTTCTTTTTTGCTATGAATAACACTGTTATTGTTATTAAACCTAATCATCTTGTGTATTTTTCCACATCGTTGTGTCTTGCATAATAATTAACAACTATTCTAATAATTAATTACTTAGAAGTTATATTTTAATAAGAAATTATCAATGTATTTTCTAAGAAACGATTGTGCATAGGTAACTTACACATACAAACATATTAAAACGCAACTAACGTTGTCATTCGATTTACGTCTTAGCAAACACATTCGCATGCAATGCCAAGGTCTTACCGTTAGGCTTAAAATAGCTGTTCATTTGCCAAATAATAATAATTTGTTGTTATTTTCCGCAATCTTACTGCGAGGCATATAATTTATTATTATGGTCTGGCGAGTAGCGTCAAAGTTTCGTGACTGATATTACTATAATTCTTTAGTCTTGTATACATTAGTTTTCACTTCAAGAATAAAAGAAACATGTGTTAGTTGGCGCGATTCCCTGATCATCATCCTATAACTAAAAAGCTGCAAATTATTAGTTACAGAAGTTGTACTCCCAAACAAATGTTAGGACTACTTTATTATGACTGAAATTTTATGTTCAATAGTTATCGGTTTGAAAATCGTGAAAATAAATATGAGCTGATTAAACCTGTTTCCGCTTGCTGCTTTAAATAATTCAACTTTTTTCAAGCTTCTTTTACGAATTTTTAACAAGTAGCAACAATTTTTTTTCACGCTCTACGATAAGTGAATGAATATTATATCTAAATTACGACACTAATTTTCAAAAGGTTAAATGAATTAATAATAAAAATGATAAACTGCATTGCAGATCGGTGCGTCGTTTGCCGAGTGTGACGATGAATACAATTCATGTACTATACTTATAAAATAATGTGTATTTCCAATAGATTTCATTCCTTTCATGTACATTATATTTTTAAAATAACTGGAATTAATTTACAATTTAATGAAACATTTAGCATGATGAGTCATCCTCCAAATCGGAATAACTTCCTTCTTCGTCCGAATTGATTTCAGAATCTTCTTCGATGAATGTTTTCTTCAGCTTTCTGAAATTCATAGTTATTCTCATTTTTTTCATCTAAAACATCTGTAATTAGAAGGGAAAATTTTATAAAACTGAACCATCAAGGAGCTCAAAATATGCTATTAAATAGCACTCCACTGCCTCCACTGTCATTTATAATTTTATTAATTTGGGGTAATTGATCACCTTTAAAACATCTAAAAACATGCTTATTATCTTATTCGTCCCATCACAAATCACTTAGGGATGACAATGTCGGTGTACATAATTTCAGAGTTGTGCGATGAGTGACGCTCGCAAAAAATACTGCAGCAATGCAAGTCTGCATCGAACCTTTAATGTTTTGGTCTCGTATGCTCCCTTGCTCGGGTGTTAAAAAATAATAAGACTGTTTTGTGCAGTCGTGAGATAAAAAATTATCGGAAGTTGCGTTTCTGAACTCCCGTTCTACTAGAATGTTTTAAATAAAACTAGTAGCGAATTTGATTTAATGTAGTTAATGAGAAGGTTTCTTACATACTAACTAACAATATTAAATTTACTTAAAACTAGAGAACAACTAACAAAGGGGGTGGAGTCTAAGTGAAAGATATTGTAGTGGTAGATAAATGTAGGAATTTCCTGAATGTCGTCATAGACGAGAGGGTGTTGACTTCAACTAGATACAGAAAAGTTCTGAAAACAAGTATACAAGAGCTAACAATGGGCCAGGTATTAGTGACAGAAAAACCTCATTTATGCTACCAGGAATTATTGAATTCATAACGTACATTTTGTCTGTATGACAATGAAATTATTTACAAATATTATAAAACCAAATAATAAAGGAAAGGAAGTTATAACTTAAAATGTTTGAAGAAATGTTTGAAGTTGAACTGAACAAAGAAATTTGAAATGTAGATAAAGTAATTAACAAGACTAAATCTAACTAAACGGAAAAGTTTTCGAATTAAAATAATTGTATAAAATAAGCTTAAAAGAGATACGATATGGAAGACCTTAGAAGAGCTAAATATAGAAAACAAATTAAAAGAGAGGATAAGAGAAATTTATGAGGAAACTTACTTTAAGATAGAAGTTAATGGGGAAAAATCAAAGATTATATCAATGAGAGAAGGCATAAGACAGGGGTGTCCACTGAGCACAGTACTTTTTAATGCAACATTTGCAAACTTAGAGAAGAAAATGAGCACAGCGCAAGAAGGAGGTATAGTAATCGGTAGAAAAAAAATTTGGTCAGTGTCATATGCAGATGACATAGTTTTATTAGCGAATAATGAAAGAGGAATGAGGGAAATGTTAACAAAATTCAACAAATACATAAAGGAAAGAGGGTTGGAATTAAATACAGACAAATCAAAAATTTTAAGAGGGAAGAAGGCAGGAGGAAGAAAGAAAAAAGTCGAATTCCAATGGAACGGAAAAACAATCGAAGAGGTTACAGAATTTAATTACTTAGGCTTCATATTACAGAGGAATAATGGAGTAGACAAGCACATTAAAAATCTGAAAAAGAAGGCATTAAGTGTAATGGGAAAAGTATGGGGAATAGGAGAAAGAAACTTAAGAGATTGCTGGAAAAAGAGAATGTTTCTTTTCGAGACACTAGTAGAAAGTATAATAATGTATGGGGCAGAAATCTGGGGATGGGAAGAGAGAAAAGAAATCGAAAGTATTCAGGACAGATATATTAAATGGACACTAAAGCTAGATAAGAGTACTCCGAGATACCTTCTTCAGGAAGAAACAAAATATGAAAAACTGACCATAAAATATTCAAAAAGGGCCTTAAAGTACGAAGAAAAAATATTAAATTCCGAAGGCAACGCAATACTAAAAGAATGTGTAAAAGTTAAGGACAAAATTGCGCTCTTGCAAAAGGAAGAAAAGAAAACCACAAGGGAAAGATGGAAAAAAGAAAGAAAGAATTTTTTAATGGAGAGAGGATGGTCAATCAAACATTATATATGGAAGCTGGAAAATGAGAGAAATGTATGGAAGGAACTAGAAAACTTAACTAAAGATATTGACAAACAAAGAAGGAGAGAGAAAATGAGAAACATGAAATTCGCTCAAGAGTACAAGATATTATGGAAAGAAGGAGAAGAAAAACCTCATTATTTGAAAGATGAAGGAGTAAAGAGAAAAAACCACCTACAATTAACTGCAAGATTCAGATTGGGAAGCGAAAATAGAGCGTCAAGGTATTGGGAGGAAGAAGAAAAGAAATTATGCAGATTATGTAAAAAGGAGCCAGAGACGCTTGAACATATTTTTGAGCGATGTGGGGAAACGGGAAGTTCTGCAAAAAGCTGGAAAGCTCAACTGGAAGGAGTGAACAACATGAAAAGGATGAGAGAAATCTTGTGGAAGAGAAAAATAGCAGGAGAAGAAAATTAATAAAAATTGTACCTTGTTTATATTGTAGGAAATGGGAAAATTCAAATGGAAAGAAAGGATGGTCTAAATAAGATGAGAAAAATATGAATAAGAAGGAAAATAGCAAAAAAACGAGAAAGTAGAAAAAGAAAATAAGTAAATGTAAATGTAACTGCACCTTGTATATATAAAACATAATGTTTTTAATAAAGCTATCTACCTATCTATCTATAAAATATAGATAAGTATAAGGACTAAACAAAGACATTACCTTGTTTATGGTTTTCCAGGTACCCGATTCCACTCAGAATAATTGAAAGAAATGGTCGAGACCTAATAATATACAAGATTGGGCCAACCCGCCACACGCCTCTTATAGGAAACCTCTACAACATCAAAGTCACCAATTGAAATACTAATCGTTTAAGTCATAAATTAGGAAATTAATCATTAATACATTCGATTTCTAAAATATCCGCGCAATGGAGAATACCGGTCCATAGTTAATGGAAGTCCGTTGAACGTGGGAAAGCACATTGGTAAATGACGAAGAAAAAGGCTTTAGCGGTGTTGTAGATTAGGAAGCAGGATAGAAAATCGTCGCTACCCTTGATACTGTTTGTGAGCTTTGGAAAGCGTTTAAAAGGCAAGGCGAAAAGGCGCAGTGGAAAGGGAAGATTTTTTGAGTATAAAAGCCCCATAGAATTCATGGAAAGGCGTCCTGCCGCCAAAGCATATAGCCGCACTGTGCAAAATCACAAATACCATCATGCAGCTACACAACTTCCTTTTAGTCTGGAAAGTAGCCACTTTCTATCATCTGTCTCCCTAAAAAAGGGAAGCCCCTCAGTTTTCCCTCAAGCTACGGGCCAATCAGCCTGCTCAATTCGTTGAGCAAAGTAGCTGAATCAATCCTTCTTGATCGGCTCTTCGACTACGTGGAGCAAAACAACCTTCTCCCTGATCATTAACACGGCACCAGCCACCAACTTCTTCGCATATCTGAATTCATTTCCGACAACCTTAACAAGCGGCGTCACACCTCCATGTTTCTTCTTGACGTCCAACAAGGGTTCGACCGAGTCTGGCACGAAGGCCTTATCTCAAAACTCTTCGCTCTTAACATTCCACATTTTCTAGTTGGGGTTATCAGGCCCTTTCTCACAGACAGAAGCCTTCGGGTACGCGTCGGCTCTGTTTTCTCTGCCAGTAAACCCGTCACAGCCGGTGTCTCACAAGACTACTAACTATCACCTATTCTATTTAACCTGTTCTGTGCGGACATGCCCTCCGATTCGAGCATGAGATCGACTGGCTGCCTTAAAAATATATTAGCTTTGGTGTTTTTGACGCCAAATGAACCTTTATTTAGTTGCAGTTCCAAGCCAGGATGCGCATGCTCCACTTTTAGAAGTTTTTCATGGTGCAATAGGATGTATCGCGCGATATTTTGCTGATTGTATGTAAAAAATATATTTCCGATAAGAGGTAAGATCTAGTTCAAAATCTGAAGTTCTGATCAAATAATACATTAATCAATGTATTCGACGTACATCATGTAAAACTGAGTCGTTTTACTGTGTAAACCAAACAGCGTTTTATTTCTGAACTCTTCATACTTACAAGAATTTGGATTAAATATCTGGCTTCAATTTTTGGAATTTCTGATGTGGATGTCTTGAAATTCACTAATCGTAGATAATTTTGCAAATCATCAGTTATTTCAATTTCAAAAGCGGATAGAAACTTTTCTAAATGAAATATATGTAGCGATAATAGTGGATATAATCTTTTACATCTTTCAAAATGTTTTTTCCGGTTAGAAGACCATTAACTGAACCACTTGATGAAATTTCGCTGTTCACCATTATGTTTGGAATACCGGACCCATTGATAAATTTGCCTCTGGCTTTGAAAAAGGTCATGTAAACTTCCAATATGAATAAATATTTTAAGAAATGTTGGTCTTTCTATTTCCAATTTGACGAGCAATTTTCGTAAACACTAAATCATATGTAACTGCAGCTGCTCTCATAGCTTGATGCATAGTTTCGACAACTACAGAGTAATTTTTGTCGGTGAACAGTTTATCATTGTTAAATAGGATATTTTCTGTTTATTCCTTGTATCTTCGTGTTTTAAACTATTGAATCCGATCCATGATAGTGTATCTGGTAATCTTGTGGGATAACATCCTACCCAAGCGTTCGCAAAGAATCATCAAAAGACAACAACATTTCTTGGTACTTCGGTCTCTTATTATAACGTGTTAATTCGAATATAATAACGTCTAGTGATCGTTGTCTCTTCCTTGTCATCTCACTAGAAATAATATCTTGGGCATCGTTTTTCGCATAATACCAATACCGGAATTTGATTCGTAGTTAAGACATCGGTTACATTCTGGAATATTATTCCGATTATGTCATACAACGTTTCTTTTCCACTTGTAACTGTAGCAATGACCGAGTCTATTTACGATGTTTATGACTTGCTGACTATGATGTTTTAACTGCTCCATTTGATATTACATAAATCACTATTTGATACTGTATAAATCAAATGTTCAGATGATCAATTAGCTAATCTCTGATTAATTTCGTCATTTTTTAGTCAAGCGCTTGTAGAAGTCAATGCCAAATAAAAATCTCTTACGAGGTTTGGAACACCGCATTTTCCTCCTATTAAATTCGTCGCTGCTATTTAACGGAAAGCGGTTTCTTTCAATTTTCTTACTTCTGGTCGCTGCTCTCTTTAGAACGTCTCTTTTTCGATACTATTAAAACTGTTTGTAAAGAACACCCCACTGAAAGGTTTGATATCTTTCTTTTTGGTGTAGAAAACAATTGCGATGTGTCTTGGAAATAATACTAGTAATCTTTGTTCTAGGTTACAAACTTCAATGACACCTGAAGATCTTAGTTTCACACAATGTCGGTCTGTTTAGTAATTCCATGTTTCCTCACTCTATATCATATGATTTCAGAATCCTTTCTGCCTGACAATTATTGATTTATTTTTTAGTCTTTTCCTAGCCTGTTACATCATCCGGAACCTGAATTTCTTGGATATTGACGTAAGAAAGTAATTTTCATTGTTTTCCTTTTCCTCAGACCTCGTGTCTTCTATTTTATCTGTAGTGTTTATCTCAACATTAGGGCTTTGACTTGAACTGAAAACATAATGGCGAAATTGAATTTTTAGATTGAGGTACTGTTATTATCTCAGAGGCTTTATAGTTATAATTTATGTGATTAAAAAAGAATGTAATGTACACGAATAAAAAGCGGAAGCGATTAGATTATTGGTACTTCTTACCTTGGTTCACTTGACATTGATTCTTCAACATTCAATTCATTAGTTTCTATCGAGAAAAATTTTGATGTAGTTGCAGACGATCTATGCTTTGGTAGCAAAGCAAAAAATTTCGTTCGAAGGAATATGTCACTATCTGTGATTGTTTCTGGTACCCATTCATTGTAAATCGCTGTCATGAAGTAAATTTATATATTTATTCCGAATTGATTACCGAAAATTAAACGAAAAGGATATTGAGGATAAATACCGATACCGATTTCATTAATTCGAAATAGACAATGCCGATAAAACTGCGTTTACGGTTAACAGTGGACATTGCCAATTTGAACGGATGCACTTCGGCCTGTAGAACGCCCCTACTACTTATCAAAGAGTTATGGATAACATTTTAAAACAATGCCTGTATAAATTTTGCTTTGTTGTATAGACGATATCATATTTTCCAAATATTTGCTAAACGATTTGATTTATTTGAAATTAGTGTTTGAAAAATTAAAATTAAAAGAACTCAATTTGTTCAGTTCAGCTATAAAAATCAGAATTTTTACCGATAGAGGGCATATAAGAACGCCAGAAGGCACTAAACCCAAGGAAGATAAAATTAAAGCTGTTTTAAAATATCCTTTACCAAATATTCAAAAAAAAAAATAAAAGCGTTCATAAGCTTAATAGGCTACTATCGAAAAATCGTTTTAAAAAATTACACAACCATTAAAGTGTTTCCAAAAAAGTTCTAAAGTCAATGTCAATGGCACTAAATACGTAGCATTTACTTTGTGTAAATCTATTTTAACCAGCACACCAATTCTTTAATATCCCGATTTTGGCAAATAATTTATTTTGATAATCGGCGCATGTAATGTCATTGGCGGAATACTTTCGTAAAGTCTCATACCACATGATCAACAAATCGCATATTATTCTAGAACCTTAAATTCAGCGGAGCAAAATTATTCTGCGATTATTATTCTAAGGAGAACGACTTTACTGAAATCGAAGATTTTCATCGAAGAAATCGAGATATTATGTGCTTGTTACGACCTGAGCTACTGGAACAAAAATGGAGGAACAAACAAACACATTAATGGTAATGATGGCAAAAATGACACAAAAAATGGAAAAACAAGCAAACAAGGGAGATGTTCAATGGACCTTAACAATCATAAACGTAATTAAACTAGACTAAATAGCGGAGATCCAGGGATAGGACCGTTTATTTTTATAAATGTATAAACTTTCAAAACTGTCTAATAAACGATTATTCCTAACTTCTTTAACTAACTTAAGATTATTAATATTAATATTATGTTCATAAGTAAGAATATGTTGGGCAACACTAGATTTTTCTTCTCTACCAAACTAGCATGAGCTAGATGTTCCTTAAATCTAGTTTTGATTGAGCGTCTAGTTTGTCCAATATATTTTTTACTACAGTCATTACAACTAATTTCATATATCCCCGACTTTTCTAAGAATGGAATTTTATCTTTAGGGTTACCAAGGAGAGTTTGAATGGAGTTGCTATTTGAACTGTAAGCAATCCGTAAACCAAGTTTTCGAAAAATACCCTCGAGTCCGCGAGTAAATCTTGGCTCGTATGGCATAGTAATAAATTTGGTCTTATTAGCGTCTGTTTGAAATGTCGTAGATCTTGAAATAAAATTCCTAAATTTTATCTTATTAATTAATTTATCAATAATGTTACAATTGTAACCATTGTCTTTTGCAATTTTCTTAATTGTACAGAGTTCCTTATGATATCTATCTTTACTAAGAGGGAAGCTCAGTAATCTGTGTACAAGGAAGTTAAAACTAGCCATTTTATGTTGAACACAATGATTAGAGTCGTTGGGTGTATATCTAGAATTAGTTCTCATTTAGGTTTAGTTTACTTCAGTCCCTGAAGAAGGTAATTTGTTACCGAAAAGTGCTTCGGACAACTACAGTGTCGTGTTTTGGCGTTGGGGTTTTAAGCTTTTCTGTTTGTTCTACAACAACCGCCAAAGTTTTTCCAATCTTTATATTTATATATACTTATATTTATATTTATTGATCATATTTAATAGTCAACGGAAACGAAAGCTGCAAATATACTTACACTCACACAGAAAAATTTCAATATTCTAGCGATATCTCTTTCGACAAAATTTAATAGGTAACTATTTAACGCAGGAAATTCAAATTCAAATAGGTTCCGAGTGGTTCTCTACGACAATTCCAGAAGATCTTCAACAAAGCTCCTGGTATTGTTGACAAAAGGAGTATGTTGTAACTCCTCTTCAGCTGAAGATCTAGCAAGATGTTCTGAATGTCAAAAAGTGGTAAGATATTGATGATCAATTATTTCAAATCTCTTTTCTGTCGTATATATTTGGTTTTTGTATTCAGTTCTATGCCTCTATATTCTATGATTTTTTTTTATTTCCTTATCACTACATCTATGTTTGCTTTAGCTAGAAAGGATCCCATTCGAATACTTAAAGTATTGGATTCCAAATAGTATACGCTTTTTTGCACTTCTAGTTTGTATTGAATTTGTATGCGTTCTTCGTGTCTGCCCGTACTCTGAGCTCTTCTTCTTTATATTCTTCCGCTTTTTCCTCTAATTCTTACCATGATATGATCTGACGCTGAACACTCTGAAATTTCTCTATTCTCCTACTCTTCCTATTACATCCCCATCCCACCTGACCATCTTTATAAACGGTATCTTCATCATTAGCCCGTAACACTACATTTCAAACACTTTAACTTTTTCTTTTCCGTCGCTCTCACTATCCACGTTTCGGATCCGTATTGAGACGTGCTGCAAGCATATAGGTACCTTAAACCGTGCTTTTTTAATTCTTATATTTTTGTTGAAGACGGCTTAACCTTGCACTCTTCTTTGCTTTATATCTCAATCTCTCGTTCCAACCAGAATTGTCTAACTTCCAGAATATCGAAAATCAACGGCTTCTGATAATTTTTCGTCTCCTATTTTTATATTTGCTCTTTCCTTACTTTTCGCTTGCTTGTATACCAATATTTTCGTTTTATTTTTGTTTATATTCATACCATAATTTTTTATCAAAACTGATTTTACAATATTTAAGACCATCTAATCCCTTGCTAGATGCTAACACCACTGCAAGTAGAAGCATATGTTAATCTCTTGTTTCTGTATATCTATCCTTACTGCTGTTATGTGTTTAATGATATTAATCACGCCTTCGATATGCAAGGTGTTTTTGAAATTAATAGCCAACTTTGAAGAATTTCAATTAAAAAAAAAAAAAAAACAGGGGATCGCATGGTAAATACAGCAGTGTGATTAAGAGACAAAAAAATTGTAAGAAAACCACAATAAATTACAATCTGAAACCATTGCTGGACGTGAATTGTCAACATAAGTCTGTACCTATATACCAATAAGGACTCAAAAGTTACAACGATGGAAAACGTAAATAATATCGTTTGTCGATAAACTAAAACAAATATCAACACAACTATTACTGCACTTAATGTTTAGATGCCTATCACGTTATAAATGAATTAATAACATTTGTTAGTAGAACAGAAAATTATTTCGACGCCACCCTTGAGGTGTTACCAAGGCAAGTTACCTTTGTGACATAGTACACACACACACAGAGATACGCATGCACGCACGCACGTGCAGTTTCCTGCAATGCTTTTATTTGCTGTAAATGATAAGAATGCAGCAACTGTCACATGAAAAGAGTCAACGTTGCATGTTGTTTCGCGTGTACTGCTTCTGGGGATTGTTATATATGAAAATCAAGGGCTTTATCTTCTTATCAGTGATATGCTTCTGGCATCGACGCTCCCGACTTGCAGATGTAGCGTATTTCTGACATGGACTCATTTATCTATCATCGATTGACTAAATATTGGGTACATCAAGGTTATAACATTGCCTCTTGCTATCATATACATATATAGTCAAGCTCAAACGAGAAAACAACGTGACAATTTTTATAATCATACGATCCTTATCTGCATCGCTTAATGTACGACATTTTGAGCAATGGCATTCTGTTGAAGAATTTTCATACAAACCAGCATCTTAAGGTTTCATTTGTCTTTTTTAGAAGAATTTTTGTAGGCGTTTTCCAGTTAATTTACACACAGGAATTTGTGTAATTCTCGACCACGAACAAATCATCCAGGCATTTACAATACAGATAACGGCTTTACTGATATTCAATGTCGCAATAATATTCACATGTATACTCTTGACCAATATGTTTACACTGACAAAATAGCAATTGATGTTAATATAAATTGCGATGTAATTAAACAGCTTCGATTAGATCATATAAATATAAGATCTAGATTTGGTGATTTGAAAGAAATTCAATTTTTATGGCACGTAATCACAACTGATGAGATAAAACCTAATCTCGACAAAATTACTTCTATCAATAAGTTCTCGGTACCCAAAACAGTAAAAAATCCTAAATCATTTTTAGGCTTAAGCGGCTACTATCGAAAATTTATAAAAAATTATTCCAAAATTGTCATTTCCCTCACGTGATGTTTAAAGAAAAGTACTTCAATCAATATTAAGGATAATATCATATTTAGTAACTGTTGATAAAATTAAAGAGTTAATCATTAACGCACCTTTTTGAGCATATCCATATTTTTTAATAAATCTTTTTCTATTTTTAACGAAGCTAGCGATAAGGCGATAGGTTCCGTAATATATCAAGAAAAACACCCCATCGCGTTTTACTCTCGTATCTTTTATCCGGATTAATGAAATTACAGTACTACAGGAAAAGTATAATTAGCTGTAGTAGACATTTTAGGTCCTACATGGTAGAAAATTTACTCTATTTAAGGAACACGTCCCTAGTATGGTTCCAAGACTTTAAAGTATTTAATAATAAATTAGCAGTGAGAGTGAGTGAGTGAGATACTTCAAGACATAAGTGCCGCCCGCCTTGAAGGAACTGCGTTCAACAAATTATTTTACACTTAAAAGATTACGAATGACTAAAATACGATTTAAAGAAAATTACCTAAAATAATTAGGAGCTAATGCAATATGACTATCTTATTCTATTGGAAGAGGTATCACTCGCGTCACACATCGCTTATACACTCACGATTTGGTTTTTACATTTATGACAAGAACCTTGTCATCCGTTCCAGGAAATACGTCGATGATTCGGCCAGGAGGCCATCGAAGGGGTGGTTTGTTATCCTCTTTCAACAATACCAGGGTGCCGACCTTTATATCGTTTGGTGTCTGCAGCTGCCACTTTGTTCGAATATTTAATTGATTTAAATACTCTTTGTGCCATCTTCTCCAGAATTGTTGTTCGATGTCTTGGATGTATTGCCAATTTCATAAACGATTTGTTGGCAAATGTGTAAGATCCTGATTTGGCAATGTAGTAAATAGTTCTCCTGTGAGGAAGTGGGCAGGAGTAAGGGCTTTTAGGTCATTTGGGTCGTCGGTCAATGCTATTAGGAATCGTGAATTTAGGATAGCTTCAATTTCAGTCGTGTATGTAATCAATTCTTCATAAGTAAACAATCTCTCTCCTACTACTCTAAAAAAATGAAATTTAAAAGACTTTACGGCTGCCTCCCAAAGAACACCGAAATGCGGCGGTCGAGGAGGCGACAAATGCCAATTTATGCCAAGATTTAATAAATACTGTTTAAGTTTATTATTATGATTTTCAGACACAACTAATCTTACGACGTTTTCGATATCATTTTTTGCTCCCACGAAGTTGGTAGCATTGTCACTATACAAATTTTGGTAACGACTGCGACTAGCAAAGAATCGGCGAAGACTTCCAATAAATGCATCGGTACTCAAATCCGTTACTAATTCTATGTGTATGGCTTTAGTAACAAAACACACAAATATACATGCACTAACTTTTACTTTACCACAATTTATTATATTATATTTATAATATTTCTTCTCCTTAACCTTAAATGGACCGCAATAGTCAACCCCTACATTCAAAAATGGGTGCGACTGAATAACACGATTTTGCGGGAGATCACCCATGAAGTAGGGAATGTTGTCGTTAGGTTTAGCTTTAAAACAGATAATACATTCTCGAATAAATTTTGTAATGGTATTTTTTGCATTGAGGGGCCAGTATTTCGATGTAACCGCATTAAGTGTGAAGGTTGTGTATATGTTCCTCTTTTATTATTAGTTTCGTTACAAAATTGACCTTTGCTACCAAAATTGGATGCTTTTCTGAGTATGACAGAATTGAATTTTTTAATCGTCCCCCAACTCGAATACGCCCATCATCGTTGACGCCAATTATCAAGTCGTCTACATAACAATCGTGTTTCAAAATTTGACAGTAGGAAATCTGGATTTTTCATCATCAGCTGGTTGATTTAATACCCGTAATGCTGAATGTAGTGCCGATACACTTCCAAACATTACTACTGGAATTATATATGATTTCAATTCGTCCGTTTCATTCTCACGCCAAGAAACTAATTGATATTGAGCATCTTCTTCGTGTAGAAGTATTTGCCTATACATTTTCTTGATATCAGCTAAAATTACAATTTGATGAGTGCGAAACCTAAGAATAATATCGAAACTTTGACTCTGAACTATCGCGTCGACTTTCAAACAATTATTTAAGGAGATACCTGTACTGTTTTTTGCAGACGCATTGTAAACGATTCGATCTGTAGTAGTTGAGTTTGACTCTTTGATTACTGAATAATGTGGCAAAAAACAATGTGACTTTTGAATTTCATGAATTTTAATTTCTTTTATATGACCCAATAAAATAGCTTCACGCATACCTTCAATGTACTGGGTCTTTAATGTTGGATTTTTTGACAATTTATATTCTAAAGCATAAAATTGCCTTTCAGCTAATTTACGTGACTCTCCTAATTTTTGTATTTTTTGATTTAATGGTAATCTAACAATATATCGCCCCGTGATTGAATCGCGCCTTGTAGTATTTTTAAAATGCTCTTCTACTTCAACTTGGTCGTCTGATAAAAATGTCTTATTATCTATTTCTTGGATTTCCCAGAATCTTTTTATACAGTCTTGTAAAGCATACACTTTAAAGAATTACGCTTTTTTAAATTATCACCTATTCTTCCCGAAAGTATCCAACCTAGCTTTGTTTTATGCAACTTTGCTTTGTGGCCTGGTATTTGCATTTGACCTATACATAAAAGATCTAAAAATATATCTACTCCTAACAACGCATCTACTTCAGTGGGTTCGTGGAGTTGCGGATCAGAAAGAATTATCATCATCATAGGGTCGTCAGTTCTAAGACTGGTTGGACACGTACATCCACTCTTTCCTATCCTGAGCTAAACTTCGCATTTTCCTAAAACTAGAAAAACCCACATACTTAACTATTTGTGAACAGTGATCTAACCTAGGTCTACCTCTACCCCTACTAACTCCTGTTTCTGCCTCTAATATGTCTCTGAAAGAATTATATTGAAAGGAATATTCAGCAGTCGTTTATCAATATTTTCATTAGGTGAGCTACTACAAATATCCGATACAACTAAGAATTCTAAATTATCACGGTAATTATTAATTTTAGAGAAAATTTCTGCTTCAGTTGAATATGTTATTCTACTTTCCAATTGATTTACACATCCTAAAGGTAGATTAACTTTTTGTAAAGGTAATTGTAATTGCTCAGAAAATCGTTTCGTGATAAGGTGCGATTGCGAAGCATTATCTAACAATACGCGTGATTGAACTAGGTTCCCGTTTTTAGCTTTTACGTTTACCAAAGCTGTTGTGGTCGTCAGTATCATGACTCTTGAATTTCCCGCGGATGCTTGGACTTCATTCAGACACTCATCAGCTTTATTATCAACCTTATTTTCGCCATAATTCTACAATTAATTGTGCCTTTTAGCGCTCTCCCTACATCCAGACCATTTACATTCATCACTACGATGTCCCGAATTTAAACAGTTAAATCATAAGTTCATTGATTTGACTTTATTTATACGATCACAAAATTTCATCTTTTTGAACATTTCATATTTATAAAGTTTATGAGGTTCATTACAAAGAATGCATAGATATGGTTTACGTATTGTAGCTAACGCGTGTGACTTTGATTTATTCAGATTATTTTTTGCTGAATGTATATGACTCGATTCCGAAACATTAATTACAGTTATTTATAATAATTGACACCGTTCTTCCAAGAATTCTAGAAATGATTTCATTCTTGGCATTTCGGTACCTTTACTGGGCCTTTCCCATTCCTTATGCGAATTTTTATCAATTTTTTTTGTAAGAATTTGAATTAACAATGTATCCCAATAGTCAACATGTTCACCTAACGTTTTTAATGTCAGTAAATGTGTTTGAATAGCGTCTAACAGTTTTCTAATTTCGCTTGCCGATTCTCTCGAAATACTGGGTAATTCTATGTTTTTACATGTTTTTGAACGATTATTCTTTTATTATAAAAGCGGCTTTTTAACAACGATAATGCTTCTTCGTAATTCTCATCAGACGATTTCAATGATTCAATTACTGTTATTGCTTCTCCCTTTAAACATGACTTTAAATATAATAATTTCTGAGTGTTCGAAAGATCTGTTCTTCTGTGAATAGAAGTTTCAAAACTATTATAAAAATTCAACCACTTTGTAATTTCCTCTATTTCTGTCTGAATTTCTCCGAACTTATCTAAATAGGTTTCAACTTTTCTTAAACGCAACTCAATTTCAATAACATTTTCTTCTACGTTTAAGGAATTCCCGAATTTTGTAAGATTACCTTTCAATGTGGTTTTTTGCTTTTTTTAAGGAATTTAGCTGCGCTTCTAATTCTGTCATACTGACAAATTAGATGAAGACTATTTACCGAATAAAGTAGAAAGAGGAGACTGTGGTAAATATTAATTAAAAATTAAAAGGAATATTCACCCCTAGTTACTACAAAAAACTTTATTTGAGCGGACACGTGTTTCGCCCACTTCATACGTGGGCATTATCAACGCGAGACTGTCCAATGACCGGGAAGCCATATTCAAAGTAGAAAGAGGAGACTGTGGTAAATATTAATTAAAAATTAATAGGAATACTCACCCCTAATTACCACAAAAAGCTTTATTGGAGCGGACACGTGTTTCGCCCACTTCATACGTGGGCATTATCAACGCGAGACAGTCTCGCGGATTACTAGGTACCTAGTTGTAAATGACTGCAAATGATGATGATGATGAACTTCTCGTATCCGTGAATTTCCTGTGTTGAGGAATGAAGATGGCTTCCATTGCTAACTTTGAAGGTTGCACTCCCTTCTGTATCAATGAAGTATTCGGGCCCGTACGATATAATAATTCGATAATTAATCAGGATATCATCGAATTACGCACAATTTGTTAGTCTACCAACGAATTTGCACTTTTCGTATACTTCTACGAATTAGTTTTCGATATGATTGAATTTCACTGTCACTGTAACACAACGTATATACGCTCGAATTAATTGATTGCGTATTAACACTGAA